TGTTTTTTTGTTATTTTATCTTAAACGTGCAATTAATATTACAAAATCGACAGAATTACTAATGGACTGGGTTAAGCATTGGAATTTTTTTTTCACAATTGGGTTTTGTGTTTTCAGTTGTATTGTTAGAGAGGAATTTTTGTTTTGTTTGTAATTTTGATCTAAGACAATTTAATAGGTTAGGGATTTATTTTTAGTTTTAAAACCACAGCTGACTGTAATTGGACCCCCCAATCGTTTTTATTTTTCAGTACTTTTTGCCATTGTAAAATACTAAATAGCCCATGGACTAGTTCATAAAATAGTAAGTCGACTAGTGAACAGAATAGTCCTTTGACTATTAAAGCATCTAGTCCATATAATAGTCAAACGACTAGTCCAATAATAGTCAAACAACTAATCCATAGACTATTTCACAGAATAGCCAATCGACTAGTCAATAGAATAGTCCATGGACTAGTGAATCGACTATTTAGTACTATGTCAATTGACTGGTCCATAGGGTAGTCAATATGTTAATCAAAAAACATTCTTTAGCTGCTCAGATTCTGATCAAATAGTAGTAAATAGTTGTCCGGAATCTGATCAAATTTTTTAGTAAAAAGTTTCTCAGAATCTGATCAAAATTTATAGTAAAATAGACTTGTCCACAGACTAGTCAATAGTCTAGCTTATATAATAATTAATCGACTTGTAGACTAGGCCATATACTAGTGAATCAACTGGACTATAGAATAGTCAATTGACTGGTCCATAGGATAGTTAATAGATTAATCAATAAACCAATGTATAGATTAGCCAATAGACTAGTTCATAGAAATGTTCTTAAACTGGTCCATAGTAGTCTATAATTTAGTTAATAGACTTGTTAATAGCCGGTAGGTTAGTGGTTAGTGGTTAGTGTTCTAGTCTGGTAGACCGGAGGTGGTGGGTACGATTCCCACCTGAGGCACTGGTTAAGGAGCGCACAACCGGACCGATAGAGGCCTAGGTGTATTTCTTCGGATTTGATGTATATACATCCCCCTTACACACTAACTAACTAACTACTAGTACATTAGTCAATAGATTGGTCCATAGATTCCTCGATAGTCTTCTCTAAAATGTATTTTTTAATCTATATGAAGTACTATTTCGATTAATGTTACTCTAAAGAACTCAGATTAAGATAAGATAACGGCAAAGATAGTTTTCTTGAGCTCTCTCCCATTTACATGTCCTAAGCTTAAACATTAATAAACAAAACCAATCAGAGAGCTAATTTTTAGCGCTCAACCAATGTTTTCTCTAAACCTAAGATCCGCAGAGAAGGACGGCTATTATAACTAAAATAGATACAGTTTCTCTATTTAAAATCGTAAATGCCATTTGCTTGATACCAAATCAAATAATTTGAATTATAATAAAACATTATGAATGACATTAAATTCCCATAAAAACTTCATAATATTAAATAAAATTTGATCATACTTAGCCCGAAAAAAGAACCAATAAATATCTTAAAACCCAAAAATTCAAATTAATAAAAACCTCTTACTGTTGCTATAGAAAGAAAAAAAAATAAACAAATATTTACTGAATAAATTTAGTTGATTCAATATTTGTGGTTTTGCATTTATTTGAAATTTGATTTCTACCAAAAGCAAGCAGTTTTAGTCAGTCAGTCGGTCACGTTTTATTTTACAAAATTTATTTTATTTTTATTATACATTACTTTTTTTTCCATAATAAATTCATTATTGTGGTTGAGAACAAAATGTGAAAAAGAAAAGAAAAAATGCAAAAAATTTATAAAACCTCCAACAGAAATAAATATTTTGTATAAAACAAATCAAAATCAACTTAACAAGTGAGGTTAAGTTGAAGTTTTCAATACCCTTCACAGTTTAACACTAGAAAAACCGTCATTGAGTAATATTTACTTTATTTACTCACTCTCTCTTTTTTTTTAAACAAAATTTTAATTTATAATTAATAATGATTAAAAATGCAAAATATTTTGTATTTTTTTTATTTCTTAATATTAATTAAACTCCTAATAAAGAAAAGCCACCAAAAAATAACATTTTGACAGTAATTTATTCAAAGCATTAATATTTGACTACATTAACTAATTCATATTATAAAAAATATATTAAATAGTATTTATGTAACTGTGATTATTTTAATAATAAATTTAGTGTGTATTTTGTTGGTGAGGTGGTCTTTGCTAAAATTTTATTAATGAAAGTGAAAAAGTGAAAACTATTTTTATATTTTAGACTTAAATTAATGTCAATTTTTAAAATATATTTCAAATTAGAGCTGCTCTCTTTTACTACAGGTTTTGTTATTAAATTTTTCAATAACATGTGTTATTGATTTAAAACCAAACGTTTTTCTACTCGGTTTAGACTATATAAAATTTACACGTGATTTTGCTAAATCTACAGCTAATTAAACATGTGCCTTCACTTTATATAACTTTTTCTTAATTCTTCGTATTTATCTCTTACATTTTCAAGAAATTTTTTAAAATTATTTTTTAGTTTCATTAACATTATTTTATTATTAAGAAAAACTTTCTATTTAATAAAATTTCAAAAATTATTTTATTTAATTCTATGTTTTCAATAATAACGGTACAATTTTGTTATCGATTTGAATTGTAATTTAGTTCAATTTTAATCACTTGGTAATAAATTCTTTACCTGTTACTCACTTAAACTTGTTTTAAATAAATTTAATTTAAAAAAATTGTCACGATCACAAAATTTATATTCAGAGAATAAATTTGAAAGACCTTCTTTCAAAGTGCACTTTGAAAAATGATTGTAATTTAAAAAAATATATTTTATTTTGTAACTTTAAACATTTAAAACATAAAATAGCTCAAGGTGCTGTTAATTTTAAGAAAATTAAATTAAATTTTCTAGTAAAAATGTTCACGGTATGATCAATAATTTTAATAAAAGAGTCTGATCAAATTTTCTAGTAGAAAGTGGCTCTGAGTCTGATCAAATGTTCTAGTAAAAAGTTGCATAGTCTGATCAAATTTTCTAGTAAAAGTTTTCAAGATCAACTTATCTAATAAAGAGTTGCTCAGAGTCTGATCAATTGTTCTAGTAAAAAGTGGCTCTGAGTCTAATCAACTTTTTTAGTAAAAAGTTGCTCAGAGTCTGATCAACTTTTCTAGTTAAAAGTTGCTCACAGTCGGATCAACTTTGCTAGTAAAAAGTTGCTCACAGTCGGATAAACTTTTCTGGTAAAAAGTTGTTCAGAGTCTGACCAACTTTTCTAGTTAAAAGTTGCTCACAGTCGGATCAAATTTGCTAGTTAAAAGTTGCTCGGAGTTTGATCAACATTTCTAGTAAAAAGTTGCTTACAGTCGGACCAACTTTTCTATTAAAAAGTTACTCACAGTCAGATCAACTTTTGTAGTAGTTAGTTAGTTAGTTAGTTTGAAAGGAGGATGTATATACATCAAATCCGAAGAAATACACCTAGGCCTCTATCGGGCCTGTTGTGCGCTCCTTAACCAATGCCTCAGGTGGGAATCGAACCCACCACCTCCGGTCTACCAGTCTAGAACACTAACCACTAACCTACCGGAGGCCACTTTTGTACTAAAATGTTGCTTACAGTCGGATCAACTTTTCTAATAAAAAGTTGCTCACTGTCAGATTAACTTTTCTAGTAAAAAGTTGCTCACAGTCAGATCAACTTTTCTAGTAAAAAGGTGCTCACAGTCAGATCAACTTTTCTAGCGAAAAGTTGCTTAGAGTCTATTAAAAAGTTGCTCAGAGTCGGATTTACTTTTCTAGTAAAAAGTTGCTCACATCGGATCAACTTTTCTAGTAAAAAGTTACATAGAGTCTGATCAAATATCTAGTAAAAAGTTGCCCCGAGTCTAATCAACTGTTCTATTAAAAAGTTGCATAGAGTCTGACCAACTTTTCTAGTTAAAAGTTGCTCACAGTCGGATCAACTTTTCTTATAAAAAGTTGCTCAGAGTCGGATCAATTTTTCTAGTAAAAAGTTGTTCAGAGTCTGATCAACTTTTCTAGTTAAAAGTTGCTCAGACTCTGATACACTTTTTTAGCAAAAAGTTGCTCAGAATCTGATACACTTTTTTAGCAAAAAGTTGCTCAGAATCTGATCAACTTTTCTAGAAAAAAATTGATCACAGTCGGATTAACTTTTCTAGTAAAAAACTGCTCAGAGTTTTATCAACTTTTCTAGTAAAAATTTGGCCAGAATCTGATCTATTTTCTTAGTTAAAAGTTGCTCTGAGTCTGATCAACTTTTCTAATTAAAAATTGGTCTGAGACTGATCAATTATTCTAGTAAGAGTCTGACCAACTATTCTAGTAAAACGTTGCTCACGGTCGGATCAAATTTTCTAGTAAAAATTAGCTTAGAGTGTAATCAATATTTCTTAAAAAATATGCTTAAAATCTGATAAAAATTTCTAATAAAAAATTAATCTAAATTTAATCAAATTTTTTCAGAGACTGATCCAAAAAAAATTCTAGTAAATAGTTGCCCAGAATTTGGTCAATTATTTAATAAAAATTTTCTCAATTTCTGATTAAGTTTTTTAACGAAAACTTTCCCTGGAATAAGTGGTTCAGAGTCAGATCGTAAATTCTAGTTGCAATTCTGAACAACAACTGCAACTGTTTTCAAAAAATGCTCTATAGACCAGAGAATATTTTCTTAAATTTCTCGGAAAGTTTAAATTTGTTTCACACTTTATTATTTTTATTTTTTATTATTTAAAAACATTGCGGCCACTTATTTTAGCACATTTCTTTAGTCATCATATTATTTTATTTATGGTTGTTATTATTAAATTTAGTTAATAAATTGTTTTTTGTTATTCAACTACAATTAAGATGTTTTTTGTTTGAGTTTAATTTTTTTTGCTGAATTTGCAAGTTAAACATAATTGTGGTGAATTTTAATGGTCAGGGTTACACTTATTTTAAAGTTTTTTTTTTTTTTTAAGAAATATTTACCTTTTCTTGTGTTGTTGTTAAAATAAATCCTAGTTTCAAAAAACGTTTTTTCTTTCTATAGGAAATTTGTACTTTTGTGTCTTTTTTTTCAAAACTTTTGACGCTTTTAGTTGAGACAGGAATTCTTTTGCTAATATTTTTTTTAAATTTTAAACGTTATAATTTTTCTAACATTTTTATTAGTCTTTGTTGTTGTTTTTAAACACAGCTTCAACTTTTGGCTTTTTTTAGATAAATCTATGTTTTAAATTTCCAACACAAATTTTAATTATTTTTTGAAATTTTTTGAAATTTTTTTCAAAATTATTTTTTTCTTAAAAAAAAAATTGATTATTTTTTATAACATATTTTTTCCAAATATGGTTTTAATCAACACTTATTACAACACTTTATTTTTTTTGGTAAACTTTATGGGATTTTTTTCAAATTTAATAGAAAAAAATTGTAAAGTAATAAAAAATTTCACAAAATAATTTTATTCAATAAAATCAAATCAAAACGAACGTAAGTACGAAACGGAACCAGCCAGCGATTTGTTTTTATATAGAAAATTTTTTAAGATCTTTTTTTTTTTTTCAAGCGTGTTCAATTTCACAACACAACAATGAATGTCAACGTTAGGCGTACGACTAAACATTAGCTAGTTAAGCGGGCTAGCTAAGCTACTAAATCGCACGTTAGTTAAACGATCGTTAACGTTGACAACGTTGGCGTTTTGTGTGTTGTGTACGTTGTCGTCGGCGTCGTCGTCGTTACAACAATCTTTGTTAAGATTGAGAATAACGTTGATGATGTTGTTGAAAATGTTAAAAAAAAAAAAAAACTAAAACAATTGACAACAGACGCACTGTCAGTTACATACACACATCCGATCGATACAAACACTCTTAAGACGGGAAGTTTATCAAACAAAACTGAACTTTAAACTATTCTTATTGTTAAACTACTGCATGTAACTTTGTGCAATAATTAAAACTTTTTTCTGTTGACTATAGTAAACTATCATTAATATAAGCAGCAGCAGCAGTAATAATAATGACGTTTACGTATTAGTGTCTAACAACTGCTGCTAAATACTGCTAATAGTGCAAGTTTAGTTATAAATTTTTGTGTAATTTTTTGTTTCTTTCTTGTTGTTGATAATGATCGTTTGTGTTTATGACTACCGTCTGTTCACTGACGTTTGTTGCATTTATTGGATTCAGTTGTTGTTTTTTTTTTATTTATCCGCAGGTTAATTTTTTTTGTTGTTGTTTTGATATTTAAGTATTTTTTGTTTTTATTTTGTATACAAAACCGGCCTTTTCTGATCAAAGCTTTGAGACTGAATGACTATCGTACTCACTTGACAATTGTAGTTATTTGAGAATTTTGTTCTTTTTTCGTTTTTTGTTGTTGTTGTTGTTTTTATTTTTTATTTATTATGGAATTGATTATTTTATTTTTTGTTTTATTTGCGCAAATTTTTTAATGAGGTGCAATATACAAAGAAATATCGGCATTTACTTTTTGTTGCACTGAGTTTCATAAGAATATAATAAAAAATATTAAATATTTATTAACCTAATTATAAGTCTAATTAATTAATCTGGAGGGTTAAAAGTTCTCTTATAAGGTCCATCATTTTATTGATTCCTAATTAATCGGAAATATGTGAATTAAAAACAAAAACCTCGCCGAACAAGTACAATTAGTTATTCACCCCAAAAGTAAGAAGTTTCCACATGAATCCAATATTACTTTCTACCTTACTAGGTAAGTAAAGTTTTTGTTGGGCTGTTTGTTTCTTTTAGAAATATTTTACTCACAGTATGATCAACTTTTCCACAAAAACTTGCCCACATTCTGATCGGATTTTCTAACAAAATTTGCTCAAAATGTTTGCCCAACATTTGTTGAAATTCTGCAAAAGATGTCTTACGAACTTTCTTGTAATAAATGGATCGGAGTCAGTTATCTATTCTAGTAAATATATGCTTAAAGCATCAAGCTTCGCTTTCACTCGGACATGACACATAGAAAAACACAAGGAAAGGTTTGTAGTGCAAAGCTTCGCATTGCTTGTAGCAGGCACTCTGACATCAACCTTACCAAGATAAGCTCATGATCAGAGGAGTTTTGGTGCTAAAAATTTCATCTTTGTCTGATCATCTTTTACAAAATTTTTTTCAAAAACTGATCACCTTTTGCAGTCTTATGATTACTTCCACATTTTCACTAAAATGTTGCCCAGAATAAATTCAACTTTTTTACTTTTTCACTATCTTTTTTCTAGTTAAAAGTTGTTAAAAGTCTAGAAAAAAGTTGTGCAGAATATGATCAGCTTTTCCGATAAAAAAAATGTTCGGTCTCTGATCAATGTTTTCATTAAAAAGTTGCTTAAGGTCTGATCTAGTCAAAGTGGTCCAGAATCTTTTCTACTAAAAAAAAAAATTTAACGGTCAAGTCTGATCAAATTTTCTTTTAAAAAGTTCCTCATAATTTAAAAAAATTCTCGTGAAAATAGTTACTTAGAATCTGATTAACATTTTGAATAAAAACTTGCTGAATGTCTGATAAACTTTCTACTTTCGTACCAAAATCTTATAATCTTATCAACTATTCTGTATATTGTTGCTCAGAGTGTGGTCAACTATTCTGTATATAGTTGCTCGGAGTGTGATCAAATTTTTTGAAAAAGTTGCTCAGAGTCTGATCAATATTTCTAGAAAAATCATTCTCAGATTTTAAATAACTTTTCTAGAAAAAAAGACTTTTACAGTCTTATAGATTTTTCTCATAAAACTTTGCTCGGAGTCTGATCGACTTGGTTGGGTTCTGATCAACTTTGTTTAAATTTTAATCAGAGTAGAGTCTACATTTCTAGTCAAAATCAAATTATCAAGTTTTCCCATAAAAAATTGTTCAGATTCTAAAAGTTTTTCTCAGTCTCATCAATTTTTTAGTATAAAGTCGGATTCTGATCAACTTTCTAGTATAAAGTTGCTCGGAGTCTAATCATCTTTTATAGTAAAAAGTTGTTTAGATTTTGGTCAACTTTTTTATGAAAAAAGTTGCTCCGAGTTTATTCAATTTTATCGAAAAAAGTTTCTCAAAGTCTGATCAATATTTCTAGTAACACATCTCTCCGATTTTAATTAACTTTTCTTGAAAAAAATTGCTCAGAGTCTGATTAACTTTTCTAGCAAAATGACTTACAGTCTTATCATTTTTCCTAGTAACAACTTGCCAGTAAAAAGTTGTTCATAGTCTGATATATATTTTATTGTAAAATATTTTTTACAATCTATTACACTTTTGTACTTAAAATTCTTTTCAGTTCTATCGACTTTTCTAGTATAAAGTTGCTCGGAGTCTGATCAACTTTTTAGTATAATGTTGCTCCGAGTCTAATCATCTATTATAGTAAAAAGTTCCTCAGATTTGGATCAACTTTTCTTGAAAAAGTTGCTCAGAGTTTGGTAAACTTTTTTCTGAAAAAAGTTGCTCCGAGTTTAATCAAATTTTTTTGAAAAAAGTTGCTCAGAGTCTGATCAATATTTCTTGTATAATAATTCTCAGATTTTAATTGACTTTTCTTAAAAAAAGTTGCCCAGAGTCTGATTAACTTTTCTCGTAAAGCCTTAAGGCCTTTATATAGTCTTATCTTATCCAACATTTCTAGTAAAAAGTTTCTCAGAGTCTCTGATTAACTTTAAAGCAAAAAGTTGCTAACATTTAAATGAATTTTTTTATAAAAAAAAACTCGTTTAGAATTTGATAAAATTTTATAAAAAAAAGTTGTTGAAACAAGTGCCCCATATAAAAATTTACCAAAATTTACGTCAGTAAACATTCTCTTTTAACACAAACTGTAGTTGAAATTTTGAAAACTTGTTCAAGTGTTTTTCTTCATAAAAGTTTTCCATAAATTCAATACAAATCAACAACAGTAAATTATCTTGAAAAAATAAATTACAAATAACCAGTTTTTTGTATTTAAATAATTAACCGCAAAATAAAACTAAAAAAATAAAAATTAAACAAAAAAAAACAGGATTTTGATTTAGAAGTTAAAGTTTTGAAAATATGTATAAAAACAGGAATTAATTTTAAGGAAAATTACAGCTTTAAATTGCTTATAAGAATCAACATAGTATTCAAAATAGATTAATTTGTATTTTTATAATAAAAAACTAAAATGTTATAGGAAAATTACAAATGGAAAATAATGGAAAAATGAATAATTAATCAACAACATTTTATAAGTTTAATAGGAAGGAAATGTTGAATAATCTTAATACTAGTTGGTTACACTATTAGTGGAATTTTTTCTTTAAATTATTCAACATAAAAGATCAATGGTTTAGAATGTCAGAAGTATTTATTAAAACAACAATGAATATTAATTAGTATGTTAATAATAATTGTTGTAATAGAATTTTACGCAACTAGTTTAAATGTTTTATAGTAAATTAATAAATAGTAAATTAGTTTAACTAATTATTAGTTAGTCATAAATGTTTAATATAAATTTAATTATATTAAATTGTTTTTGTTGTTAGGTTTATAGTTAGTTAATAATTTACTGTTGATGAAAATTTTATATTAATTATTTTTAAAATAATATTTGATTTCTATTACTAGTAGCAAACTTTTTAACTAATATTTTTGTCGAAGGTGTAGAAAATCATACTATTTGCACAGATGATCAGACAAGCCAGTCATTTATATTCGTTATTTTAATCTAAACAACGAGTTAGTTTTTTTTTTTTTAGTATTCATTAGTCAAGTAGAAGATTGAGCTCTGAGTATGATATAACTAACGAAAACCCCCTCATCTATCATCTACACTTGAGTACAAAAATTATACATATAATAATAAATAAATATACGAATTTGTTAAAAATAAAAAAAAAAACTAAGTAACCATACATAAATCCATATGAATGTGCGGAACAACTTTCTAGCTTTTAGTAGACAAGTAGCTAGATAGATGTGTATCTGCTGGTAGTAAGTACTAAAAACTATAGTCTGTAGTGTGCAGATTTCATACATCCCCAACACGTTACTACCGCACCAGCGTACATCATCAGTATCATGTGAATTAAAAAAATGTTTTAAAAAAACTATAATAAAAACTATAGAAAAAATATACTAAAATTTATTCATGTGCAACTAAATCGAGAGATCTGCCTGTCTCGACTCTGGCCAGTTCTGTGAGTATTAAAATTTTTAGTATTTTTATTTATTTTATTTTTATTACTCTTTTTAGATTTTCGTTTCTTTCTTATGAATAATATTTATTTATCAGGTCTAATATAGCAAGTGTCTAATTTCAATTCTGCTTTAAATTCTTTTGTTAAAAATTTATAATATATTTGAAATAGATCTATATTTTATTCAAATTTTATTGTGGCCTATTTTCTTTTTGAATTAATTTGGTTGTTACTATTGTTCTACATCGATTTTTTATAATTTTGCTAATGATCGCAGAAAGTACATAATACTTTACATAAAGTAACTCAGAGTCTGATCATGGTTTCTAGTAAAAAGTTTCTCAGAGTCAGATCAACTATCAGCTTTTCTAATAAAAAGTTGATCAGTCTTATCAACTATTCTAGTAAAAAAGAGTCTGATAAACTTTTTCAGTAAAAAGTGGCTCAGAGTCTGAGAAATATTTTCAAACAAAAAGTTACTAAGAGTCTGATCAACTTTTCTAGTAAAAAGTTGCTTAGAGTCTGATCAACTTTTCTAGTAAAAAGTTGCTCAGAGTCTGATCAACTATTCTAGTAAAAAGTTACCCAGAGTCTGAGAAATTTTTCCAGCAAAAAGTTGCTCGAAGTCTGATCAACTTTTCTAGCAAACAGTTACTAAGAGTCTGATCAACTTTTCTAGTAAAAAGTTGCTCAGAGTCTGAGAAAACTTTTCCATCAAAAAGTTGCTCGGAGTCTGATCAACTTTTCTAGTAAAAAGTTGCTCAGAGTCTGATCAACTTTTCTAATAAAATGTTGTTCAAAGTCTGATCAACTTTTCTAGTAAAAAGTTGCTCAGAGTCTGATCATCTTTTCTAGTAAAAAGTTGCTCAAAGTCTGATCAACTTTTCTGTTGAAAAGTTGTTCAGAGACTGAGAAAACTTTTCCAGCAAAAAGTTGCTAAGAGTCTGAGAAAACTTTTCCAGCAAA